CCCCCCCCCTTCTCTGAGCCTCAGTCTCTTCGTCTGCAGCATGAGACGGATGAAAGACTAGATTGGGGCAGTGGTTAAGGGTGCACCCTGGATATATGTGGCCCTCTGGGTCTTGGGCCCCCACACTTGTCCATCACCTGGAACTTCACCAGGCTCCTGAAAGACCTGCCCTGCCTCTAACACTCCCCATGGCTCCCTTATGCCCTGCCCACCCCCCATAGAATTGGGAAATGCTGCATAGCTGCTTGGAGTTCCTGGTCTGTCTGCTCAGGACCCCATCCTGAGGGCAGGGCCTGGGTCTGGAGCTGCCCTAAGGTGGGGCCATTTGTACATGGTTGTGATGAGCTCACAGGTGGGGCCCTGCCAGCTTTGACTATGTGCCGAGTGTGCCAAGTTCCCACCTTGTTACCAGGTCTGGTCCTACCTAGTCCAAACTGGGAGGGGCCCTCAGAGCCTGCAGCACCCAATGGCATCTCTCTCCTGCTTTCCCATTTCTAGTGGTGACATGACCGTTTCTCTCCTTCGTGACTGAGGACAGTGCCCTTCGGGTAAAGCCCTCCTCCCAAGCATCCTGCTCAGCATCTTCTCCCTCCTCCTCTCCTCCTCCCCCATGAGCACAGGTGCATCTTTGGAGACATGTTAAAGAACTAAGTCTTCTGGAACAACCCATAACTGATGCCCCCCAGAGTAGGAAGCGTGCAGTCTTCCTACCAGCTCAAACCAGAGCTGCTGACCTTACTTACCCCATCGCCTTCTGGCCTCGCATTCTGGGGGGAGGCTCTGGTGTCCTCACTCCCCTGTCAAGAGCACAGCAAGAGGCACAATGGGAGCTCCGTCTTGCAGGAATTGAATCATATCTGATGCCCACACCCCCACACCTAGGATCCATGCCTCCCCTTGAGTTTCTGGAGGAAGCCCCCAGGCGTTGGCACTGCCCCTGAGCTACTGCTAAGAAAGACCTGACTAACATAGGCCCAGATGAGGGCTGCTCGGGGGCATCGGCTCTCCTGCTCTGCTGCAACCACATCTGAGCCCAGCAGAGACCACCTGCCACAGCCCAAGAGTGACTGGGGAAGACCTGGGAGAGGGAAGGGGATTGTTCATCCTACTCCCCTTTTGGGCTTTGAAACACACCTCACACTTGAGCCTTGTGGTTGCCTCTTTTGCATCGTGAAGTGCAGGCTCCAGGAGGTATCTGAGAGCACTGAGCTGTGCACCCAGGAACAGGGGCTGCAAGGAGTCACCTGTGTCACCAGTGCCCAGGCTGTTGGGAACCAGCTCCCATGCCTGCTCCAAAGAAAGGGATGGGAGAGGTTTCCAGGCTGTGAGACCCAGGGCCCATGGGTACCTATTTCTATTCTCAGCTCCGGACGCTGTGGGTGGCAGGGAGGTGTAGTATTGCTCAGTAGCAATTTCTGCCCTTTGTAAATTATTTAAGAAATCTGCTTTGTCATTTTATTAGAAAGAAATCAGGGTGTAACTTCCTTTGATAACGTTGCTTTTCCATAATAAAGACTCTTTCCGTATTTGACATCGCTTCTCTGTCACTGCCACCCCTGTGCCACTCTGGTCTATGTTCTGGTACCAGGCTTTGTCCCCTCACTCACCCCCACTCCAAGCCAGCCCACCTCCGGCGCAGGGAGCACAGGAGTAACGGGAAAGGTTTCTGGGCTTCACTCAGAGCAAAGCACATTTTAAAGGCAAGTAAGGTTTTTATTTAAGTGACAACGTTGGAGAGTTAAAAACCAGCTCACATCAAAATCAAGACCAGTTGTAAAAATCTTTGAACTCCATAATACTGTTTTTGTCTTGTTAGAAATCTGATATTTTACATTTTCTTTTCTAACGGATTTTGTACAAGGCAGCCATGAGGGATAGAAACCTTTTCACCACAGAACCACCCACCACGGATAATACTGAGAGTTACACACTTAGGAACAGTCAGACCAGGGACAAGACCAGACAGGCTGCCACCACCAAGTAAACAAATAGAAAGGACGCTGGGGTCCGAGCGTGGGGGTCCCCATGAGCCAGCCGCCCTCCTGTCCTGCCCCTCTTTGGTGTCACCTGCCCCTTGTCCCCACCAGAGTGGAGTCCAACTGATATTTATCCCAACCACCCTCTTGGTTTCTCAGCAAAAAGAGCAGGACCCAGACCAGGCTCCGCTGCCTGGACTTAACCCTAAGTATAATTTTTAAGAAAGTTCCTCCAAGCCCAGGGGGAGCAGGAGGGAGGTGACTTCCTGTGTCGGAGCCAAAGAGGTTAGGTTTCCAGAGCACTTGGCACCCAAACCCCCAGGTTCAGTGGGAAAGTTGGTTGTTTAAGGCGGGGTCAGCTATGAGGCTCCTTTGCAGCCCGGCGCCCCTCCCCGGCGGGCAGCGCCTGGGCTGGGTGGGGGTGTCCAAGCAGAACCCTGGCCAGCTGCACGCTGCCACGGGCCCAGCTCTCATTGGAAAATTGGTGCCACGCTTTGTCTGCAGGACACTTCTGGGCGGGTATGGGGTCCAGAATGGTAAAAGGAGTTAAAAAGCCATGAGACACAGCCTCCCCTCTTTCAGAG